CCGCAGACGTTGGGGGGCCTTTGGATGGCGCTCTTTCAGGTGTTGATTAGCCTTTTGTTGCAGGCTGACCTGCAGCCTGCAGCCCTGAGGCGGGAACAGGGTGTGGCTGGTGATCAGAGACGATCATGCTTAGGTTTGCAGATGACTCTGACCACGGGGCGAGAGGTTCAGCAAAGTGATTTGTGGCCCGCTGACCCGTCTCTTGTGCTGTAGCTGGATAGAGGGCTCGAACAGAGAGCGGATATTCTTAAACAGAATGTCATCTTCAAAATCAATGTTGGTTTTTTTTATTTCCTCATCAAAAATGTTTATGATTGATAAATACGTTTAGGTTTGAGAAGAAAAATGTGATTTTCTCTCTCAAAGAATATAAATCAAGACTTTGCTGCTTCAGGCTGAAATTGATCCGTTTTAGTGGACAAGCCGCCTTGTGAACTAGACCAAAGTCTTGCTTTGCAAACTGTAAATAATATATTTATTTAGTCTGGCTTGCCAGGCGGGACAAGACTTCATATTGGGGAGAAAATGCAGATGATTTGTTTTCATGAAGACAGTTTTTTGCCACAGATACGAGGGCGATACCATCTCAGCGCTGCCGCCATTTAAAAAGCATGTTTCCAAAACAGATCCACAACGCTCATCTCTGGTGGATCTGCAGGAGTCGTCGTTGTCTCTCTCTGCCTCCACGACAACAGGCTGCAGAGGAAAACTATTCTTATGCAAACTAACCAACCAGCTGTCAGTCTGCAGCCGCTGCTCCGCTGCTCCCGGGTCTCATATACAGGTTATTTTTTATTGTTTTACAATCATTCACAAACACCTATCAAATATAAATTTAGGTTGGGTTTTAATTTACTCTATTTTGTTTTGATCTGACCGGATTTAAATATTTTTTCTTGGATTATTTTATTGTTCTTTATTATCATCAAAATAAAAAGGGATGAAAATCAAGCGTGGATTATTTTTGTCCCACCAAACATACACGAATACATCTATTCCTCCAGAAACCTTTCCCTCCAAGCCTCTCTGCAGAGTCTCAAAGCTAGAGGAAAAGTGGCTCTGCTTTTTGGGGATAGGTGTGGATTTTGGGATTGGACAGGTAGCTCCTAGACTCCTCCCCTCTCCTCCAGGTATAAATGAACTTCCCATAGATTCCAATAGAAGCTTCTGCTTGTCCACTTTGCGTCTGCAGTCCGCATCACTCCTGTAGAGTGAGGAACAGAGATTTGTGGAATCCTGGAGCCAGTGGAGCAAACAGCAGCAGCTCTGCTCAACCTCAGCGCCAACATGTTGTACCTGGAGACGGGGACCACCACGTCCTACAGCGGGGTAAGAGCAGCGCCAGCGGGGCCCCACTCATTGCTCTCAGTTTGTCAGCCGGACTAATCGAAGCCCTCCGAAGCAAAAGGCCTTCTGTGGTTTTTTCATCATGCTTAAGTGAATAAAACCATAACAGCTGTTCATCCTTCTGGGTGTTTCTCCATTCGACACAAAGCGTCCTTCATTTAAAAAGAAACGAGGTGATGAACAGACTAACAGATTTCAGTCAGTGTCCGCAGCAGGATGGAGTGTAGGGAATGGTTCCAGTCCGTTTACTGTTACCTAGCTGAGTGTTTCTGTGTGTGTGTGTGTGTGTGTGTGTGTGTGTGTGTGTGTGTGTGTGTGTGTGTGTGTGTGTGTGTGTGTGTGTGTGTGTGTGTGTGTGTGTGTGTGTGTGTGTGTGTGTGTGTGTGTGTGTGACAGAGGGAGGAATGTAAACATCTGGAAGTCTGTTTGTGAAATGGCTGCTGTCTGGCTGGGTGTTGAGTCAGTCGACGGGATTTACTCCTGGTCTCATTCAACCCGTCCTAGATGGTGGGAATTCTTTCTTCTGAAAGATTTGGGAGTTTTATTTTTGTTCCGGTCGTGTTGTGGCAGAAAGACATTCTGACACATCCAACATTTGAAAATGCTTCCATGATGGGTTTTGTTTTGTAGATGTTCATGTCGACTCCGTTTTGCAGAGCTTCGTGACGGGCACGTTTTTAATTCAACAAAATGCTGAAATGTGGCTCTAGCTCTTTATTTCCTGAATGAATTCTCGTTAATCTTAGATTTTTTTTATTCTTTTGGTTTAGAAAAGCCATTCTTTAATCAAGAGAAAACCTACATTTGTTTCCAGATGTTGAGCCTCTGCTCTGTTAGACCCCCGCCGTGATCGCGCCACCCGGCTGTCGTGATTTACTTCCATCATCGGTTTATTTCTCTGTAGCGGGTAGATAGGGAGCGAGTGATGGATTCTTAGATTGCAGGTTGCAGATAGCAGGTGTGTCAGGTCCCTGTCTTTTAAGTTGGGTGGGGGGGTGGGCGGGGGGGTCTTTAAGTGGTGTTCACCTCAATACCTCCAGAGTGTGAGGTATCAGGTTGCCCTGTCCTCAGTCTGCAGGGAGCCGCTCCAGCCATTAGAATGGGACCAGCCAGGCGTTGCTGTTTAGTTCGGGGTCCTAATTGCTTTGATGGTATGTTGATGCAGATACAATCACCTGCTCTGCCCACCCCAGCAGGTATAAGGTGCAGATAGACCATCAGCCATCCCCGAGCCCCGTTGAGCCTTTAATGCCTCCCACCCCTGTGGTCACTCATCAGACCCCTGTCCCAGTGCTGGTGGAGCAGGGAGGTCCTGGAATGGGAGCTATTCCCCCCTCAGGCCAGGTCCTCTCAAGGTCCCGCTTCAGCGTTAGCACAATAAACGTAGCAGCAAGAAAGAATTGTTGGTTTAGATTTAAATTAAACCAAATAGTTCCCAAACGCAGCCACAGCTGCAGCTCACCGCTCCCCGCGAGGGTGGGTCAGATGCGCGGATGAATTTCACCACTGATGATGATGATGGCAAAAGGACTTTAACTTTAACTTTAATGAGGAGTTCGGTTGTGTTTGTTTGACGTTAAAGAAGAAAACTCCTGTCCTACCGCTGCTGGTGTTCAAAGACACACACGACACCACCGCCCTGTATTTATAAAACACGGTTTGACTGAAGGAGCCGTTTGACTCGAGTCAGATCCACTTCAGTAACATGAGCTGCCTTATCAATACCTGCAGGACGCGGCACGGAGTGATTTAGCGTGTCAGTGTGTCCTACTAGATGCCAATGTGTCGGGCCTATCAGTGACTTCTAAATCAGTGCTGCCAAGTGTATTTCAAACGTTTCTGAAATGTGTTGTGGGTAATTCAGATTCCAACACTGGTGTGAACGGGCGATCGGCGTAAAGGTCAGAGGCTTGTTCCTGGTGACCCGAAAGCTTGGCTCAGCGGTGGTCGCGTACACGTAAAGGAGCGTCCAGGCCTCAAACGGGACAACACAAACTTTATTAAAGGCTCTTGGGTTGTCAGAGACGCTGATTTACTGTGCAGTACTCAGCAGCCTCACATCCCGGAGGCTTGAACGCAGCGTCGGTCCTCAGCAGAAGGAATTTTTAAGAGCTGCTTGAGTGGTTATTACATAGTTATTGTATTCTAGTGGAATAAGGTCTGATTAAAGGACGGGAAGACTTTTAGAGAATCTGATATTCGGCTTCCAGCTGATTAAACATTAAAACGTGATGAACTCAGGTGGTCTTTACCGACGTTTTCACCTTTGATCCTTCTGTCAGTCGGACGTTGGCATTATTTGGAAGCACGCCAGTCATTCCCCTTTTGTGTCCTTGCTTTTATCTACGTCTGGTCTCTGGCCAGCATCAAACCTGGCTTTAGAATGATAATTTGGCATTGATAATTAGTGCCTGTCACATCCCCCATGGCAGTAGCCTGCATCAGGTGCTGGGGGTGGCTGTGTCATCTCACCGGCTGAGTCCCGAGGGATTGTACCACAGTTCAAAGGAATTGCTCTGATATCATCATCAGTCACTCTCGCATACGGGAAAACTGTCCAGACAGGAAATTAAGACACCCTGGGAACTCCCAGCTTAATTTTATTCATCAGTTCTGGCTGTTAGAAGCAGATTAACAAATCAAGTTTTGTTGCTTCGTCAAAGCAAAGTTTGGCGCTGCTTGTTTGTTTTTCCTCCCTAAAAGTCCCTCCGACGGGGGCCCTCTGCCGCCCGCTGTGCTGAGACTTTACAACACTTTTTGTGTTGTATGGAGAAGAACCCCCCCCACCCCCCCCCCCCCCCCCCCCCACCACCTCCCCACCACCCCACCTCCTGAATCACCAGAGAGTGCTCGCAATTCACAAAATACTTGTCTCTAGACACCTGCACACCCAGTGTTGCTGTCCTGCAGAAAACCTCCTGCAAGCTCAGGTGTCACTGATTCTGAAAAGCGACGCAGCTGAGACTTACACACACACACACACACACACACACACACACGCACACACACACTCAGATGTGTCTGTTTGACTGCACGGGTCTGTCTGTGCTTTTGCGTGGATCAGTGAGAGAGTAATAATACCACATCACGGATTCTCGAGTCATCACCTTTGCTATTGGTTGTGTAAAGGAGCTCTCTGGGTTTTTTGGTCACCTGGTGCACCACTAACACCTGGCAGCGTGGCGGGTGTGAGTCGGACAGCTGTGGTCAGTCGCGCTTGAAATAAACAAGAGGCCCCCAAGAGATTAATGACCATCGAAAGAGCAAGACATGGCACCTCATCCAGGAATGTGCCATTTATAAATGGAAAGGAATGGGGTGAATGGCAAGCAGGAATGGCCTGGCTCAGCTCAAGATGTGCTCTCCATCATGACTGAACGGAGATGATTGGGATCTGTACCAGCACCAGCTGGAAGATGGGTTAGGGAATGTAACAGAATAGACTTAATTATCTTTAAAACTGAATTGAGATGCATGGAAAGCTGTGCTTCGTTTCAGGACGCCACTTTCAGCAGCATGTTTGCTGTCAGGGAAGATTCCGGCTCTGTCTCCGAGTTTCCATCCCGTCTCATTCCTACAAATCAATGAAACGTGAAAACATTCCCCCTGCAATCACTTAACACATCCCTTTGTTCTCTTTGTTTTGTCTTCAGTCGCAGTACACAAACCTGGAGCTCCTGAATGGCATCGAGCAGAGTACGGGCTCGACCTCCACCAGCCCCTACAACAATGAGCACACTCAGAACAACGTGACAGCTCCATCACCCTACGCCCAGCCCAGCTCCACCTTCGACGCCCTTTCTCCATCACCTGCCATCCCATCCAACACCGATTATGCCGGACCACACACCTTTGATGTGTCCTTCCAGCAGTCCAGTACAGCAAAATCTGCCACCTGGACGGTAAGAACAGTCGAACTCTCAGATGTTTTTATTCTAGAAGAAGAAAAATGTTACCTTTTGTTGTATAGTGACTAAAAAGCATATTTAATCTATTGCTGAGAGTTTGAACAACCAGGTAAGTTGGTGACCGTGTTGTTATAGACTCAAACCTGTTTCTTCCTTTGTTCTAAACATTCGGGTTTCTCAGTGTTTCTTTTTGTTTTTATCCAAGAAAAACGTAAAATTAACTTTTTCTCATTTCCGTTAAAACATGTGAGCAGCCATCTTCCACCTCTTGGATCTGAGATCCTCTCTAATGTGTGACCTGCCATAAAATGAGGCCGTTGTTGGTCAGGTTAGAGGTTAAAGGGACCTCTTTATGTTTGAACTCCTTATCTGACTGCGGATGCTCTAGGCAGATTCAGGCGTATGTTGAAGTCCTGCGTTGCACGATTGCATCTGGCAGGGAGGAATGTCACCTGAGATGTATAGATCATCGCCAAACCTCGGGCATTTATGGTGAGGTCGCTGACAGAAAGGGCAAGGGGGAGCCGTGGGGGGACCATCACTTACCTCACACACCGTCATTACAGAACATGTTCACTGCTTTAGCTCCAAAAGTAATCCTAGAGGATCAAAGTAACCCTATTAAATAAAAGTTACTTTGCTTTGTGGCAAAATTAACTTTATGTTCTACAATGGTGAGGAATGTTTGAGTCTATGTTTGAAGGAGCCAGATTTCTTTCTGAGTTTTCAGAATCATAACTTATAACTTCATCAGGGATGTTTCAGCCTTCCTACTTTATTTTTTTTAAGTAAAAGATTTCACTTTGGTTGACCAGAACGCTACACTGGATTAGAACAGGGGCGTGTCCAGGGGGTGGCCTGGGGTAGCACATGCCACCCTTGGAATCTAATTGGCCACCCCAGGTGCCACCACACTAATTTACCTTTAAATGGGCTCTTCATTGTCCACAAAAGGCTTGGGGGTAAAACAAAAAAAAGCATAACCATTGGTGCCACCCCATTTTAAAAGATCTGGACACGCCACTGGATTAGAAATGGGCCCTTGTATTCTTAATCTGTGTATTTCCACATCCAAGCAAGGATGGCTCATAAAAACTATGAAAGAGCAACGGCGCACATTTTAAACAGTCTGTTAAAAAGATAATTTCCTCCGTTTTTTTGTTCCATTTAAAACAAAGTTAACATCGTTTTTGCATCAAGCATCAACAGCAGAAATCTGACTGGGATTTCCATAAAAACCAGATCTGATACTAGACCCGAGTGATGTACCGTCACAGTTCTTCGTCTGCTGTTCACCAAGAGCTCAGCCCAAAGCTCTTGGAGGGTCATCACGTCAGGTCAAAGTTATCTTGACTATGTCGTTGTCGACATTTTCACAAACACAACCAAAAGATGTGGAAACGCTCCATCGGCAGACGGCTGATGACGCGGTGCAAAAAGCAACGACGCAAGTGTCTTTTGTTTTGGTTTTTATTAGCAAAGTCGGGTTTATTGTTATTGTTGTTATTGCTTATTTTTGTATTTCTGTAACTTGTTATGCCTAAACAAGATATACGTTTGCTAATGACTGATCCGGAAAAATAAATAAATAATAATAAAACAACAAATGGAATCAAAGAAGCTTATTTAGAAAGCTGCCAGAAAAAGTTTTGGTAACATTTTACAATAAGGGTCCCTTTATTAATGCTACTTAGTGCATTATTAAGCATGAACAAACTATTCAATAAAGTATTAACTGCTTAATATTATCTAATGCATTACATAGAAGACCCCCCCCCCCCCCTACTTGTCCTAACCTTAAGGACACGTAATAGTTAACAATAATGATGATGTTAACAAATGCACCTTTTGTTTATTAATGTTTAATAATGCATTAATAAAGGGACCCTTATTGTAAAGTGTTACCAAAGTTGCATTTTTACTGGAGAATCCCTCTCCTTAGTGATGAAACAAAAGGAAACGAAGAAGCGCTAGCCTTCCTCCGTTCTGATCTGTTGGTCATGCTTTACCTGTTGCCCCACAACTCAGACACGTGTTTACTCGTGTTTGGTGGTTGAAAGAAGTAAACAAGTACAATCGTTAGTCCAGGTGCGGTGTTGTCCTGTTTAGCTGGATGTCACCGTGTGACATGCAGACAACCAACACAACCAGCTCCTCCGGCTCTGTGATTGGGTTGTGTGATGCATCACTGCTCCACCTGTTTGGTTGTTTGTGCATAATGTGCACTCCTCTCTGCAGACACCGCAACAGTCCAACTAGTTTGGTCTATTTGTGCACTCCAGCAGACAACACGGCGCACAGAGGCTTAGCTCCGGTGTTTTAGACATCTTTCATTTGGGCTGATTTGATTGGAGGAATCTGCAGGGGGCAGCTGCCGCTGACAGAATAAGACTCGGGATGTGGCAGACACAAGTTGCATCATGGGCTTCCAGGTAATAATGACATAAAGGATCACCTGAACTGGTTTACAAACATGGCTGCTTGACTCATCGCCACCTTCCCCCCCCCACCACCACTTACTCGACGCACGGCGCTGTGCCTTCCAAGTAAACCTAGGGAGTGCTCACCGTACTCATTAGCCACTCCAACTGTGGGATTGTGACACTCGCCCATTTCCCACACTGCCTCGCTCATCCCTCTCATTTTCGCAGCCTAAAAACAAAAGTGCTTGTCTGATGCGCAACCATGAGGCGGCTGGGACTGCGGTTTGAGAGGCACGCCCCACGGCCTGCCTTACTACGCATCCCATCACACACACAGCGGGAAGCAGTCACAACACCTGATGTAAGCCCGGCTGGATGGGTCTGATTCACCCTTCCTCATCTGTGTCAGGGGCTGCTGAGACTTTTAATCCTAATTCCAAATTCTTGCTTTAAAATAACAGAAAATGAGAATAAATACACAAAACTGTGAAATAATTTTGATTTATTGTCAAAGTTAATAGCACAAAAATGATTTTACGATCTACAAATTTTTCTTTTTGAAGCATAAAATCAGAAAAAACACGAGGGCTCTAAACAAATCCCGTCCTGAACGTCATTCACCATCACGACTCTCCAGACTCAGTGGTGAACTTTTCCACGCGGAAGCACGGAAGCGGCCCCTTTCCTCCGCTCCGCTGCAGCCTGCCTTTTCTAAAGAGGAGCGATTACAGCGTGGGTTCTCATCTCAAAGGAGGCTTCCTCACGTGATCTCAGGAGATCTTTGGTAAAGCTCCCATAATCTCAGCCCAATAGCTGAACTGGTGGACTGATGGACGGATGGCAGAAAGCCACTGAAGATGTCACCAGCACCGCTTTGCTCTGCTCACAGACCCGCTAATGCGCCCTTTTTGAAGGCCTGTGGGATCTTCCATGGGACTTAGTGGACTGTGTACTCTACTTTTGATGACTGTTCTTATGGAGACACACCTAATCCCTAACCCACACCTTAACCTCTTCCTGTCTAGGATGAGTGTGACACACACGCACACACACACACACACACACGCACACACACATGCAACACGTCAACCTTTCCCAGAATGTCTCCCACACAGTTTCCTAGTTGGCACTCCTTCATTTTCATCCTTCAGTGACAGAACAGCATCAGGTCACATGAACACACACCCATGCTGAAGATGTTTTATCTTCTGTGCTAATGGGGTGTTGCGAACGAGGCAGCCATTGTCGGCCTCTGCTGTGGCTATTGTGAGGGTGAAGATCGGTTGTGTTTGCCGTCCGTATTAGCCGCCACCACCCAGAGGCAGAGCAGAGGAATGTCCCGGTCCGAGAGCGATCACTGGGACTCAGCAGAACTCGGGGGGGGATTACAGTAATGGATTGAGGGCCTGTAGATAATACTTGTGTAAATACAGCGTGCCTCTTTTCTGAACCCTGTGCTCTTGCGGAGGGCTCTGTCTTTTTGAGAGATTTAAGCTTGATGGCTGCATCTCACATTGCGCCGGAGGAGGAGGAGGAGGAGAGCCTGTGAATGCTCAAAGAGAAGAAGTGTTCCAGCGAAAGGCGGCAAGACGCAGCTTGCCCCTGGAACATCTGCGGGCCCGTCCCACGCCTCACGAGATGGGGCTGAGACTTGTTTGTGTCAAGAAGCTTGTCACGACTCGCCCATCGCGGGGAAACGAGTCCTGGGAGCTGCAGAGGAGGAAAGGTGCTGGGGATTTTTTTTAAAGGCAGAGTTGGAAAGTTTTTGTGGAGGTTATGGGATGTCTCCACGATCGTCATGGAAAAGCACATCCTCCTACAGTTTCCATTACACTACCGCGTTTTGCAGCCTGAATGTATTTTTCATGATTTTGAAAAAATTAAAAACAGTTTTAGATTCTTGTTTTGTCCACGCCAACATCTTCTAAATAAGACTCCATCTTTTATGTTCGTTTTATTGCCGTTTTTAGTCCTTTGGAGGTGGAAGCTGGTGAGCGGTGTGTCCTGCCTGCAGACTAGAGGACAGTGGCCATGTTGGCTTCATCACTAAGATGGTCAGGACAAGTACTGATGAAACTCATTCAGTCTAAATTAGAAGAAACAAATAATATCCCTCCCCTTTAACAAGCTAAACTTTAATTTTGTGTAATTAAATAAAAAGCAGGTTCTTTCCTCGTGTTTCATCTGAAAACAGGAGAGGGGGGGGGGGGGGGGGACCTTTGGATTATAGTTGAATTAAACAGGTTTGGGAGACGCTCCAGGCATGACGTGACTTGTCAGGTATGAAGAAGACAGGACCAGAGGCGCCAAACAGTGCTTGTTTAAGGCCTGATGTTTGTCAGGACTTGACTTCTGCATGCGCCCGCAGCGCCTGTCAGAGAGAAAGGAAGGCTACAGCTGTGGGCCTGCCTCGACCTGCGCTGCTGAGGAAGTGGCTTTTTAATGGAGTATTCCTCCAAGTGCATGCTCCTGATGTCTGTCCACATCTGTGGAGCGGCGTGGACACACGATGACACAACTTCACAAACTTTGCTGTTGTTGGATCAGTGTTCTGGTGCACGAAAACATCCACGTTACGATCGTGTTTCCCGTTCCCGCTGCCCCGTGCACTAACATCCTCTCACGTGCAACTCTTGCAAACACAAGATTTCTTTTAGATGGTTGTGATTAAGCAGCACTGCGTTGCGCCCCGTGCGTTCCTCGGCTGTGTAATTCACATTGTGACCAATGAAAGGCTCATAATTACATGTTAACACCTGAGCGCCGCACCCAAGGTGAGCCGCTGAATCCCATCAGTCAACCGGCCGTCCTCCACCCTGAACGCTGTCAGCTCCCAGCAGCAGCAGCTCTAGCTGCTCATAGCTGTGTGCTCAAAGTGTGTAGCCCGAGGGCTGGGAGGGTTCTCAGTGTGTGTGTGTGTGTGTGTGTGTGTGTCTGTGTGTGTGTGTGTGTGTAGGATATCATCTAAACAAACTTTGTTTTTTCTGCCTCTCTGATTAGATCTTTGTGCTGCTTCTGCCTTCAGCTCCACGTCCAGCGCTGCGATTACTCCCAACACCACAAACTGACCCTCTGAAGCAGCACCTCTCTTTTTCTGTTCACCTCCTAATCCTCTGCTTTCTTTTTCTCTTTCGTTTGTCCCCCCGTCTCTGCTCGGCTTCTCCAGCTCATTTAGCTGATTGACACAGGCGTACGGGGAGTATCGGGTTAGGAGCAAAGAGACAAGCACCACCATTTGTCTTCACTGCTTTTTTTAAAGGAACCTTTGGAAAGGAGCTTTGATTTGAGGGAAGGATCAGTTCAGCGGCGGTGTTGACGCACGTGTGACGGAGCTGAAACCTACCAAGTATCTGGTTAAATAGACTTTAAAAAGAGGCCCGCTGTGTTTTTCATGAGTTTGAGCATTCCTCTTCATTCTAACTCGCACTGAGAGAGTTTCCACCGCGCAGTTCGGTTACGTTTGTTGAAGAGAAGGTTCAGTTCACCAGAATGTTCAGCGGAGACGAGAAATCGCTGTTTTGGGTTTGTCCTGGAGAGGCGTCTCAGACGCCCGTGCCAAGTTTGCGTAACTTTAAAGTCAACACATCCAGGCACTGGGAAGAGCTCCCCTATTCATTGGAAGCGCTCTTAACAGAGGTGGAATTTTATGTTTCATTATTATCAAACACAGCCGCCAGCATTTTCCCCGTCTTTAACTCTGGTTTTATTCCACTTGTTGTTTTCATCACAGAGGTGAAGCTGACAGGTAGATTCCCCCTCCCTCTCCAGCCTGGGCCTCCTGCACACAGAGGATTTAAAGCTCTGCTTGCACGGCGCTGATTTGAATGCTTTGTTTACACAGTTGGGTCATGCCTATTAGCAACAATTCAGTCTTTCTGATGGCTTACTGCTTATCAATCCCAACAGTGCCGGGGATCAAGGCTCGTCCATTATTTATGACTCCTGGCTTGCACACTTGAATGCGTGCCAGCCCGCGTGAGCAACCATCACACTTTGGCATCAGTCAGGGACAGATCCTGAGATTAGTCTGGCTCTCAGACCTGCGAGTGACTCATTTTCATCCAAGTGGGTAAAATGGGCAGCTGGACCTCGTCAGCCACTTCAGAGGCCCTGCTCTGTAAGACGAGTGCCATCAGATGTTCTCAGCAGACTACTCCCCTCCTGTAGATGAAAGCAGGCCTGGTTTAAAGGCTCCTGGAGGGGTCCGTTTTATGGCGCTCCTCGGAAGTCCCAAAGGCTCTCCATGAGACGTCTTTAAGGTCTCCAATTGTTTATTTGAGTCATAATTACAGCGTTGCGTTGAAGCCCTATTTGCTCCAGGGAAATCAGAAGTGTTCAGCAGGTTTTAGCGACTGGTGACAGCAGCGCTCCATTCAACCCAAAGAGCCGTTCACTAACAGTTTCACTTTGTTACGGGCGATGTTTAAACGTCCTCTTGTGTTTTTCTCCACCTCTCTTCACGCTCCAGTACTCCACAGACCTGAAGAAGTTGTACTGCCAAATTGCGAAGACCTGTCCCATTCAGATCAAAGTGCTGACCCCCCCTCCGCAGGGCGCCGTTATCAGGGCCATGCCTGTGTACAAGAAAGCTGAGCATGTGACCGAAGTGGTGAAGCGCTGCCCCAACCACGAGCTCAGCCGCGAGTTCAACGACGGTCAGTCTCAAATCGCCACTCACTTCACTGGTCATTGTTCTCTGTCAGCGTTTGATGATGAATCTGCTGTCGCTTCCAGGTCAGATAGCACCGCCGAGTCATCTGATCCGCGTGGAGGGGAACAGCCACGCCCAGTATGTGGAGGACTCCATCACTGGAAGACAGAGCGTGTTAGTTCCATACGAGCCTCCCCAGGTGAGCTGTCCGTCAGCATCCTGAAACGGGTCCAGCTGAACGGCCCGTCAGCAACACCTCAGCACCTCTGACAGCCCGGCCTCTTGTTTCCAGCTGCTCTGCTCCGACACAGCAGCTGCTGACCCCTAAAGTCACGCACCGTTCCTGCCACTCAGAGCGTCGCAACCACTGGCGCCTCAGTTCACAAGCTTGTAGCTGCAGTGGTGATTAAAGAAATCCAAAATAAAATAACACACTAGACCATGGACGTAATTTTCACTTTAGAAGTGGGGGGGGACCCGGGGGGGGGGGGGGGACCCGGGGGGGGGGGGGGGGGTGTATCTTTACAGTATGCTCTAATGGGAAACAGGCTTCAACACAAACAGTTGTTTTCTGCTTGGTCCTAGAGCTCAACCAGTGTCAGTTTAATATAGCGTAATATTGTTTTTGGATGGTAAAAAGTGCAGGGGTCAATACTTGACTTTGGAAAAAGTGAGGGGGACATGTCCCCCCTGTCCCCCCCACCCCCCCACCCCACCCAAAAAAATTACGTCCATGCACTAGAAACAATGAGAAAATAGCTGCAGATAGAAAACATGCAAATTTTCAATCAGAGTCTCATTTACGATGAGTGTTTACGCAGCAAACACTGGCTGTAGCCGTTAAGAGACCGGTTAGATTTTTATGTTATTTTAGTTGATTTGAGGTGCATTTTTTCATTTAGCTGCCACTAGAGGGCGGTGTGATTTAGTCAGTTCCTTTCATCTTCGGCTCTTGTGGTCTTCTGTCTAGTTTTTATACTTTCAATGTCATTCGTCATCCACGTAGATGCACCGTGGACTGGCACTGCCTATTGGAGCTGCCGTGGTGGCTGTCGGCCATCTTGGATGTTTCTCCATTCACCCCCAGCATTTATTACTGAGGAGGGCGTTTACTGAACTAAAATAAAACATATTTACTCTGCTTTTTCACAAGATCGGACACATGGTATATGGCATGATAGTTAAATATAGATACAATTAAATAAAAAATTTAAACTAATGGAATAAATAAAATCCCAACAGGTAGGCTAGGAAAGTGAATAGTAATTCCATGTGATCTGTTTTCAGTTGTAGGTCGGTTGTTACAACAATAAGCTGCACAAACAACGGGGTCATGGTTGTCCATGCACCCTGTGTTAACTCCAGGTGGGTTTGGAGAATGAGTAACCCATCTAATATGGCGGCAATGCTGTTACTGTGCCCAATGGCGCCACTACGTTTTCATGTCTATACTTGCAACGATACCTTAATGATAAATTAGATGCAGAAACAACCAAATATTATGAAGGGTAAAAAGACACTGCTGGCTCCTTAGATATAAAATAAAGGCAACGGTTCAGTCTCACTGGCGTAACAGCAAAGAGACAAACACGTTTAGCTAGCTGAGTAAATTGATGACTACCTGTTTATCACTGGAATGTGATTAGAGATTAGAAACCTCAACAACAAATCAGATTAAGTGAATGGTGTTTTAGAAAATTAGAGAAAATTTGTAATAGAAATGTTATAAAATGTCACAAAACGGTTTTGAAGTGATCGGGGATCGTCGTGGAAAACCTTTTGTTGTAATCTGGTCAGAAAGTTCTGGGTTCCAGCCCTTCGTGAAGTTCTGACTCGTGGAAATCTCACAGGAACGGTTAGATGAGCTACAGCTCTGTGACCATGTGAAGAGAAAATCTTCTGTGGAGTCTAACCGGTTTAAAATCGCCGTAACTCAGTCGAGGAAACGAGGAACCCTCATAAACGTTTCAGGAACTCCTTTGAGGACGCCGTTAGCATTTTCGTCTCCAGCAGTGAGAAACTGGCTTTGGGCTAAAACTGAAACCAGCTGAAGTGGTTTTGTGTTTGGTGTGAGTCCGTTTAGCTCCTCACCGTCAGTGTTCTCCTCCTCCTCCTCAGGTGGGGACAGAGTTCACAACCATTTTATATAACTTCATGTGCAACTCCAGCTGCGTGGGTGGGATGAACAGACGCCCCATTCTCATCATTGTCACTCTGGAAACGAGAGAGTAAGAAGATCTGTTTCATCACCGTCTCAGAGTGTGTGAGTCTCGGTTTCTAACAAGTCCTGTGTCCCTCTGCCGGCCCAGTGGACAGGTTTTAGGCCGCCGTTGCTTTGAAGCCAGGATCTGTGCCTGCCCAGGACGAGACCGGAAGGCAGATGAGGACAGCATCCGCAAGCAGCACGTAACGGACGCCACAAAGAGCAGTGAGGGTACGTACTGCTGGGCCGCAGCTTCAACCAGCTCACTCTTTAGTGATCAGGGACAGTTCCCACCCCCCTCCTGCTCCGGCTCAGGCTGACTCCTCAACACATGGGCAGCTTCACTCATTCTCCTTCTCCTCCTCTTTCCAGCCCTCCGCCAAGTTTCCCACGGCATACAGGTGTCCACCTTCAAGAGGAAAAGATCCACAGATGAGGAAGTGTTTTGCTTGGCTGTAAGTGTTGTCGTCTGTTCGTTGGTGGCCTGAAATCGTTGTTCTGTTGGTCTGATCACTGTTCAACTCTGTGCCCCTCGTAGATCAAAGGCCGTGAAATTTATGACATTTTGGTGAAAATCAAGGAGTCCCTGGAGCTGATGCAGTTCCTGCCCCAGCACACAATAGAGTCGTACCGACAGCAGCAGCAGAACCTCCTCCAGAAACAGTAAGTAGAAGAATCAGTCGAGCTGTTTGGGTTTGTTTTCAGGAACAATCCAGATTCAGGATCATCAGTGTCGCTAATGCTGGCGTGCAGTGACGGCCAGCTGAGTTCACACCCCTGAGCCCATGCAGGAAAAGGAGTAGCGCTGATAAATCTGTGTGTGGCACTTCCCGACTGTGTTTATCTAGAAAAGCTGACTGAACAGTCTAACCTGGGAATAACTCATCTCCAGTAAAATTACCCAGAGTTTGCTGAATGCCGGCAGCTTTAGAGGGCGAGTCTGGCACGGAGCACGGCTGTTCCCTTTTTTCTGTCGCGGGATGAGAGCCAAGGCTTATGAAACGTGACAAGTGTACCTGGCTGGAGGAGCCTCCAGAGGCTTCAGTGGTAATGCCTTTGGCTGCTCGGCCAGGTTTGCACAACAGCAGAGAACCAAGTCTGCCTCCGCTCCTTTGTCTGTTGGTCCCAACATAATTAAGAGTCTCAGAGACACATTTACACACATTTCCCCTCCCTCCTATTTCACATGAACCCATGGAAACCGGGAGACGTCCTGTGATGTAATTACTGCTTGTGTGTCACTGAGGCTGCAGTGGCGTGTCCAGATCTTTTAAAATGGGGTGGCCCAGGTGAGGCACAACTTTGTGCATGGGAGGCACCAATGGTTATGCTTTTTTGTTTTACCCTCAAGCCTTTTGTAGACAATGAAAAGCCTATTTAAAGGTAAATTAGTGTGGTGGCACTTGGGGTGGCCAGTCAGATTCCAAGGGTGGCATGTGCTACCCCAGGTCACTCCCTTGACACGCCCCTGAGAGGCTGACAGCCTCGCTGTTTACGTTTGATTTGCTGCCCGACACACTCAACCAGTATGAATTCAGGGAACAGACACTTAACAGCCGGTTCCCAAGAGGCTTTTTTCAGTTTGTTTAGTGAGTTTACGTCTTTGGTGGCGAGAACACAGAAGGAGACTTCTTTTTAACTTTTATGTTGTTTTCTTGTTAGTTAAACTCCTGAGTTTCCCTCAGAGAGTTTAAATAAACAGTTTCAGACCTTTTCTGTGTGTGTGTGTGTGTGTGTGTGTGTGTGTGTGTGTGTGTGTGTGTGTGTTCAAACCGGACCAACCGCTGCGTGGTCTGTGGGTGTATGCTGCCACCTGCTGGTCACCCTTCTCAAGGCCTCTCCAGAGCCTCTCCTGTCTCCCTCTGTGCCACTGAGCCTTATTTCTGCTCTCTGTCTCTTGTTTCTGGTTCCTCCTGCAGCCTGATAAACCCCCGTGTGGATAGCCAGGTCCTGGAGCCTTCAGGAGAGCCGAGGTGGCACTGCAGCTCCTCCTGAAACCTCCACATTCCGACTCCTCCTCTCATGGACCTCCTCTCTGTCTAGTTTCTGTCTACATTGTTCTGCTCTGCTTCCTCCTCGCTGTCCTGGGTTTCCGCTCTGAGGACACGAACTCTTGTCTGTTGCTGCTGATGAACTCCTGGACGCCCCCTCCTCCGTTAACCGAGACCGTGTTTTATGAAGCCACCTGTAGGCAGATGTTTCTTTGGCATGCTGTTTGTGAACTGCTTACATCTCGTGCAGGAACCAAGCCTGTTGTTTTTTTAATCACACTTGACTTTTAGAGATGACTGAAGAGAATGTGTGGTGCACTGAGAGCTGGACTCAAATGTTTTTGTGGGTTTTGGGGGACAGAGACGTTCTAATTCAGAAGACTGTTTGCCTAGTGCTGGTCATGTTTTCTAAAGTCACTGCGGGACAGTTTGTGTGTTCATGTTATTGAATAAAATCCCCTTTAACGGAGCGTGAGGCGTGTGCTTTGTGGCATGCAGATGTGACCACTCTGTTTGAAACAGATCCTTTGATTTTACCGCCTCCTGCACTTTTTTGACTTGATAAACTATTACAATAATCCTAATATAATAAAATATTTTCATTGCATTAAGTTTGTTTGATTATTTTTTCCTTATTTGGGGTGATATTCTGTGTTGTAGAAGGGATGATTTCTTAACGGATGTTGTTAACAGCCTGTCACCTCCTCTCTCCCGACCCCAGACCTTCAATGCCGCCTCAGCCCTCCTTCGGATCCAGCTCCCCTACACACGGAAAAGTCAACAAGTTGCCGTCAGTGAGCCAGCTCATCAACCCCCAGCGCAACACTCTCACCCCATCCAGCATGTCCGGAGGCCTTACTGACAGTAAGTGTGCTGAAATTGTCCTGTCTGTCTAAGGACACACACCTCAGAACCCACAACAGCCGTCCCTTCCAGGCTTTTAGTACAGGACAGCGTGTCCCCACACATCCCCACCCCCCACCCCAAAAAACAGTAGCAGACAGCTTCAGATCCTCCTTGAGGACCTGGTTTGATGCATGACGATGAAATTAGCTTCTGCAGGCCCCCTCTCACGTTACAGTTGACACTACATAGCCTCTAAACACCGGCGTGGTGAGACAAGGCTCACTGTAGCTCCCTTTGTCTCTGCAGTGACTCCTATGATGGGCTCCCACCTCCCCATGAACGCTGACATGAGTTCACTGAGCCCCACTCACGCACTGCAACCACAGCTCCCCCTGGTGCCCTCCTCCCACTGTACCCCCCCTCCTCCATACCCCATGGACAGCAGCATCTCCAGGTACCTCAGCAACGCAGACCTCCTCACACCCAGAGCGTGATTAGCGTTACAGTCACCAGGAGTTTACACTAAACACATTATAAACTGTTACTGGTCCAAACAGAGGATAACAGTTATACAGGGATTATAAAGTTCTACAGCATCACACTTTATTTCCCATTTCCAAGACTTTTGACCGTCTTTTTTGTTACCAATTAACTCCCATAATACTTTACAAGTTTGTGATTTTTTTATTTTTTTTATTTTTTTACTCCTTGTGTACTTGATCACATAAAACAAACTACCCAACCTTTAATTGTTGGAGAACAATTAATAAAATTGTGATTTTAACTTGGAATTACAAACATTTAGAATTTTACTAAATGATTCACCTCTGTGTAAATGTTATAATTATCGTGTTACCTGTTGTAGATGGCTTACTGAACAGCCTCTGCTTTGAGAAACAGAGTTTATGTCCTTCAGACTGATGAGCTAACAGCTAGTAAGATACCAGTGAACCACTGCCATTAAAACAGCTCCAGACTTTAAGACAACATAAACCACCGGCAGATTAACATCACAGGCTATTTAGAAATATTAACCTCAGCTGCAACAACAGTTAGTACTTCTGGTGCATGCTGGGCCACGTCTAGCAGGAATTTCTTAAGGTTGGTTTATGCTTGATGCGTCCGCGAGGTCCGCACGGCTCCGTGCGGAAAATTTGCGTCATTTTGCGTAATTTTAACAACCACGCCCCTCCACCGCGTCTCCGCACGGCCCAAGATTTCCGCAACGCGCACCTTGGAAAATTTCTAACCATGCGGACGGTCGGACGCGGAAAAACATGGCGGACCGGCACGGCAGAGGTTCGTAAATACAGACATTTGTATGATCCAGCTCTCAGAGATCACCGTGATCAACATGTTGTTAATAATTCTTGGAGAGAAATAGCTCGCACTGTCGGAAAAGACGAGAACGCTGTTAAAAATGCTGAAATACCATGTTGTAAACAGTGATTTCTACTTCTACTATGGTGTAGTGTTGGATGCATGCTGTAGAGCTCCATGCTGCCCCCTACAGTTTGGGAGAATATTGGCTCACCGCAGAGACGAGCCGCACAAACCATAAACGCTGCGAGTTGTGAAGCTCGTTCCAGCCGCGAGTCGCATCACCGCGCGGAAAGTGAATGCGTCAAGCATAAACCAAGCTTTACACAGTTCTTACGAGCGCTTGAAATACTTGAACTTTAATGTAGAATTTTTAAGGTTTAAAAATGCTTAAATTTGTAATAAAAAACTTAAAAGTAACTAAAATTGGTTACTAAAAAACAAGGAAGTTAAAGGTGTGGAACACTTGTTAAATCATTACATTTACAGCGGTCTCTAGCAGGAATGATCCATCCATCCATTTTCGTCCACTTATCTGGGGCTGAGTCGCTGGGGCAGCAGCCCAAGCAGAGTTCTTGCCACGTTGTGGAGTTGCTAATGCTAACGGTTAGCTTATACTAGCCGAGACGTTCTGTGCCGTTTCCTTGATGCTAAAACAACAGCCTTCCCCGTTGAGAGATAGGATGGGTGAGTCCATGAATGCTAAGTGACAGTGTGACATAGATATCAGAAGCTAATGCAGGTGAAGGACACTATTTTCATGTTTAACCTGCATGAAAAACTCCGTGATTGATTATAAACAGAAATAATTATTTAAATAATGTGTTTTTCAGTGTTCCACCCCTTTAAATAATTGTTTAGCGCATACAGTGGGGCAAAAAAGTATTTAGTCAGCCACCAATTGTGCAAGTTCTCCCACTTAAAATGATGACAGAGGTCAGTAATTTACATCATAGGTACACTTCAACTGTGAGAGACAGAATGTGAAAAAAAAATCCATGAATTCACATGGCAGGATTTTTAAAGAATTTATTTGTAAATCAGGGTGGAAAATAAGTATTTGGTCAATAACAAAAATTCAACTCAATACTTTGTAACATAACCTTTGTTGGCAATAAGAGGTCAAACGATTACTATAGGTCTTTACCAGGTTTGCACACACAGTAGCTGGTATTTTGGCCCATTCCTCCATGCAGATCTTCTCGAGAGCAGTGATGTTTTGGGGCTGTCGCCGAGCAACACGGATTTTCAACTCCCTCCACAGATTTTCTATGGGGTTGAGGTCTGGAGACTGGCTAGGCCACTCCAGGACTTTCAAACGCTTCTTACGGAGCCACTCCTTTGTTGTCCGGGCAGTGTGTTTGGGATCATTGTCGTGTTGGAAGACCCAGCCACGTTTCATCTTCAAAGCTCTCACTGATGGAAGGAGGTTTTGGCTCAGAATCTCACGATACATGGCCCCATTCATTCTGTCCTTAACACGGATCAGTCGTCCTGTCCCCTTAGCAGAAAAACAGCCCCAAAGCATGATGTTCCCACCCCCATGCTTCACAGTAGGTATGGTGTTCTTGGGATGCAACTCAGTATTCTTCCTCCAAACACGACGAGTTGAGTTTATACCAAAAAGTTCTACTTTGGTTTCATCTGACCATATGACATTCTCCCAATCCTCTGCTGTATCATCCATGTGCTCTCTGGCAAACTTCAGACGGGCCTGGACATGCACTGGCTTCAGCAGCGGAACACGTCTGGCACTGCAGGATTTGATTCACTGCCGTTGTAGTGTGTTACTGATGGTGACCTTTGTTACTGTGGTCCCTGCTCTCTGCAGGTCATTCACCAGGTCCCCCCGTGTGGTTCTGGGGTTCTTGCTCACCGTTCTCATGATCATTTTGACCCCACGTGATGAGATCTTGCGTGGAGCCCCAGATCGAGGGGGATTATCAGTGGTCTTGTATGTCTTCCATTTTCTGATAATTGCTCCCACAGTTGATTTTTTCACACCAAGCTGCTTGCCTATTGTAGATTCACTCTTCCCAGTCTGGTGCAGGTCTACAATTATTTTCCTGGTGCCCTTCGAAAGCTCTTTGGTCTTGGCCATAGTGGAGTTTGGAGTCTGACTGTTTGAGGCTGTGGACAGGTGTCTTTTATACAGATGAGTTCAAACAGGTGCCATTAATACAGGTAACGAGTGGAGAACAGAAAAGCTTCTTAAAGAAGACGTTACAGGTCTGAGAGAGCCAGATATTTTCCTTGTTTGAAGTGACCAAATACTTATTTTCCACCCTGATTTACAAATAAATTCTTTAAAAATCCTGCCCTGTGAATTCATGGATTTTTTTTTCCACATTCTGTCTCTCACAGTTGAAGTGTACCTATGATGTAAATTACTGACCTCTGTCATCATTTTAAGTGGGAGAACTTTCACAATCGGTGGCTGGCTAAATACTTTTTTGCCCCACTGTATGTCAAATTAGCATGTTTTATTATCTAAAATGAAATATTCTGCAAAGGGGGAATAAAAGGGAACAAGGGGACAGGAAAACAAAAATATTTTATTCAGAAGAAGAAGAAGAGAAACAAGAAGATGACAAAGAAGACAAAGAAGAAGAAGAAGAAGAAGAAAATGTTTAGAGCGTCTTTCTAAATAAAAATTACAAGGCACTTCATGAGAATTATAAATTCAAAAAATATGAAAGACCAAAAAAAAAAAATCAACACATTTTAAATGATAAAATAAAACCGAAGATAAAAACAAACAACAAAGTCCAAAAATATACAGAAATAATAGAAACACTAGCATGAAAAGAAGCTAGTGAACAAGCAGAGAGTGATCAGGATTTCACAATGAGGTCAGCCTGACAAGATGAGTCGTTAGCTCATTAGTCCTGAAGAACATAAAATCAGTTTCTCTGAACTGAGTCCATTCAGAAATCTGTCTACAGCGGGCAGGACAGGACTTATTTATGACATTTACACAGAGACCCACAACAAAAGGACTGAAAACTACAACATATTTCTGCTCATCTGCTCATCTGCCTCGTGATGAGCTCAGTTCTAACCTGACCCCAACAGATAAACCCACATCATTTAAACCAGATTAGCAGAGATTCGTTCTAGAAGCAGAGTTGAATGTCCCTGTGTGACTGCTCAGAGGAGTCTAACCTAGTGCTTGTTACCTGCTCCCCCAGCTTCCTCCTTCGGCTGGGCTGTACAGGCTGCCTGGATTACTTCACAGCACAAGGTCTAACCAACATGTACCAGATTGAGAACTTTAACATGGAGGTGAGCCCTTGCCTATCCAACACGAGTCATATGATGGGTTAGAGAGAAGAGTGGCTCCCCCTGCGAATACTAACGCTCCCCTGTGTAATGACCATTAGGACCTGTCCAGGCTGAAGATCCCAGCTGAGTTCCAGCATATCATCTGGAAGGGGATCATGGAGCACCGACAGGCCATGGACTTTTCCCCTCCTCCGCACATAGTGCGCACCACCAGTGGAGCCTCCACCGTGAGCATGGGCTCCTCGGAGGCCCGGGGTGAGCGCGTCATAGACGCCGTGCGCTTCACCCTGCGCCAGACCATCTCCTTCCCACCACGTGATGAGTGGTCTGACTTCTCCTTCGACCTGGACTCTCGCCGCAACAAACAGCAGCGCATCAAAGAGGAGGGAGAGTGACGCGGCCTCAGGCCAACTCCCCACGTTCCCAATTCTCATTTCACACTGGAACTTTTCATCCCTTGTGCAACGGCTCCTGACAACAACACTGTACATTATTTAGCCAAACTGCACTTATTTTTTTTTTTTTTTTGCTCTGGTTTATGAATCTCAGAGTGTCACGTTGTTTAGCAGAGGTGCATTTTACAATCTTTTAATTTCTTGAGAGCACTTAAGAAATGACGAGTATTTCAATGTTGTTGCCGGGTGTTTTATGCATCATTTCCAAACAGCAAACCTGTATGTGAGGGCTTGTCTGGGTTTTTGTTTCTGCTGCAGACCGTTACAAATGTACTCCTGGTCCTGTTGCTCACCGTCGTGACGAAATAGTCGAGTACACTGGCTTTTGCATTCGTGGCAGAAGTTTGTTGATTGTAAACATTTCACAGATTTTCTTTGAAGTATTATGTCCTGCTGTAGCTTTTATATTTTTCATTTTTAGTGTGCGTGCGTGCAGGTGTGTGTGCGTGTGTTTAAAAGAAAAATGGTCATTCATTTGATGTAGCCACATATAGGCCTAATGCTCTTGACCCAGTGTTTACTGTTACATGCTCCTATGACTGATGTGTATACCATCATTTCTTTCAAACTATGATTTGATATTTCCTTGTATTTGTATAAATTTGTATAGCATCCATAAAGGTACCTGGTATGAACAGGACTGACACAGTTCAGTTCAGTGTTTTGTACATATTTTGCATTTTATCAAGGGTATTTTGTCATGAATTTGAAATAAATATCAATACTTGCATTTACTGCATGACAATATTCGTTTGTGTCAAATTATTTCCTATTTAAGTGGAAAAAAGTTCTGTTTGGATTTCAGAAGTTCAGAAACTGTAATGGTGAAGGCTTTTTTACGATCACTACACACAAAGGTGTTGGTTATGAGGCAGGACAGGGACTTTAAATGGTTTAGCAGTAAAAAGTGCAACGAGTGAGAATTATAAAAAACACTTTAGAGACAAAAACACAGGATGAAAACATAGTGGGGAAGCATGTTGGGGGCTGCATACCAGTATGAAGGAATGCTGTTGTACTTCGCTGTTAAAGTGTTCCTGAGATGAGTTTTACAGCCATGAATTTTTGTTTTTGTTAAAGAAATGATCAGATTTATGCATTTGTCCTGAAGCTTAGTTTAACATGAGCTGATGAGATTATCGTGAGTGGTGATGTTAGTTTTACGTGAATGCATCGTTTCACCAGTATTACATCACTATAGTCTACCCCAGCCAGGTATCACGGGCACACCTGTTGGCATGGATGCCTCACTCGTAGAGAAGTGACATCAGCATGTCCGTCACATTGTGAAGGGCGGCGTCACTCTGGAAATGTAAATGCAAGAGAAACTGAGTTTTGGGGATATGGTGATTCACGGTTAACTCGTTTGAATCGATTTCTTTCTACTACGTTCATTTTAGCATTTCTTGTGAGACCTTACAGATAAAGCTCAATAGGATGTTATCTCCACCATTAAACACCAATTTAAATCACCTTTTAACCCTGAAAATATACATGAAAAATGTTTTTATTTGGAATGGCTTATAATTACACACAGTTATGGATTTAGTAATGAGATTACTTTTATTACCATCATTTTATTATTGTTGCTTTTGAATATGAGTTACAACATTTAACATCCCATCAGATCAACAGTTTTTTTTCTGTATCAGGACTTCTCTTGTTAATTATGGGATTTTCTCATATGAAGTCTTATGCTGAGTCCATCGGCAGGACATCAGTATAAAGGCACGCTGCTTCAGCCGCTGTCTGTCTAGATGTCTATGCTAAAGTCCACCTGCTTGTCTAGGTGAACTATTAAATCACTGAAAATTGTTTCATCAGTGCTATCAGAGCATCTAAAAGGCTTGAATGAGGCGTCTACTCTTATTTAATGTCTATAGTGTTGTCCTCAAACCAGGACCTCCCTCTTCCACGCTGGACGTCCTAGTAAAATAAACCACATTTAGCCAAGACAAGTGTCTTCCTTCTACCCGTGTTGCGCTGGAGCACCTACTGACACACTGAGCTATTTACAGAAAAGACCAACTGAAGTGTGGGCACACACATCGTTCAGGCAGAAAACACCAGTTCATTTAGGTTATATACATGTTCAGAAAAATAGTCTCCTGCTTTTGGTTTCATACAGAATGTTTATACAATTTTACAGGCTGAGGGGAAACTGGGAGTCTAATGTATTCCCATCTCAAACCCAGCATTACTCGACCTCAGCCACATTAGCCACCTCCACCTCCATGGCCTGAAGCACCTCAGGCGTTTCCTCTGGCTTTCCCACGGAGAGGGCCTGCTGAGCGAGGACATAGTTCACAACCTGCATGATGCCCTGATCTGACAGCGTAGCCACAGACCCATCAGTCACAGCCTGGACAGCCTGAACGGTCTCCACCGTCTCCTCCGTGATCAGCACCGTCTCCAGCTCGTCTGTGGCCGGCTGCTGGGCGGGCCTGAGCTCGGGGGGCAGGTCGGATGCCAGGATGCTGACTGCGTGCTCCACCTGGGTGCCCTGATTATGAAACTGGAGGGTGTCCTTCTCCAGCATGATTTTTCCGGGCAGGCTGTCTACGTGGTATTTGGCCATGTGCTTACGCAGAGAGCGAGCATCGATGTGTGCATCCTGGCACATGGGACACACGTACGGACGTTCTCCTGTGTGAGTTCGGACGTGTCGTTTGAGAGAGCGGGCGTCAGCCCAGGCGACGCCACAGGTCAGACACTCAAACGGCTTCACTCCTGGAGAGAAGAGAGAGAATCAGCATGTTAAAGTCAGACAATTGAGCCGTTTACATCACAACAACGGATAAAAAAAGACCTGCAAACATTCATCAGTGAGTGAGCTCACCCTGGTGGTTGTTGATGTGGCGCCGGAACTCTCTGAGCTGAGTGAACTTCCTGCCACACTGCAGACATTCTCTCTCCAGGTTCTGCTTCACTCGGCCCTTCTTACCATGCGTTGCTTTCTTCACGTGCCTCCTGAACAGAGCCTTCTCAAAGAACTCCTTCCCACACACATTACACCTGAAGAAACACACACACACACTTAGCCACACTAACGCCTGATGAACCTGCAGTGACTAAATTGGGGACTTACAGACCCTTTTTTTTTTGTAATTTACCCATTGCAATTTAATATAATTTGTATTTTGATTGTGGCCCAAACAACAAAAAATAACATTTTTGAGATATTCCACTTTGAAAGAATATTTCATCTTTCCGTCCACAAAGCTCAGATCCAGAATAGACAGCGAGAAAGCGAGAGCGAGAGATTTTTATTCGGTCAACAACAACAATTTATCAATTTTACATAAAAGTAATCAAGCAACCAAAAAAGGAATAGGTTGAAGCCTAGTGGCTTATAATTAGTTTATCCTTAACTCCCACAGAGATAATCAAATCCTTAACCAATATATATATATATATATGTATATATATATATATATACATATATATATATATATATATATATATATATATACACACACACATATATACACACATATATATATATACATATTTATTTTTTATTTTTTTTATTTTATACACAGTATAATTGATTTGCACGTATATGATTCCAGTATTTCATTTTTAATTAGTTTTTTGAAAGTAAATATCGTTTTCGCATCCTTGATTACATTACCTAGCTTATTCCATATTTTAACTCCATATATAGAGACACAGCGCTCCTTTATAATTATTCTATGCTTAGGTATTGTAAATTATTCATGTCCTTTTACTTCATATTTACTCTGTCTTTTTATAAATTTTCTAAGTAAATTTTTAGGAAGGGTTTTTTGTTTGTGTTGAGGTTCCACCCTCATGAGGAAATTACTGTGCAGTGATTTTCTCTAAAAGACTGTATTAAATTGCTTTGAAAAGCATCTTTAAGCATCAGCGCCAAGAGACACTTCATTTCCCATGATGATTTGCACACGGAAGCAGTGTGATGACGTCACCAAAGCGGAGCCGAGAGCACGAGTTCTGCGCATGTGCGAGTTTTCCCGGTTGCTTCTGTAGTGGCCGGTCATGCACAGAGCAGATATTTGCTCTCCGCAACATTATCGAACAGACAATAGAGTTCCAACAGCGGCTTTCAATCAATTTCATCGACTTCACAAAGGCCTTCAACAGCATACACCGTGAAACACTATGGGATATTGCTCGAGTATACGGCATCCCGGAACGGTACATCGGTTTGTTCCGCAGCCTGTACCACAACTCTCGCTGCTGCGTACGCACAGAAAACGGCTTGACGGAATACTTCGTGATCGAAACGGGAGTCAGACAAGGTTGCATCCTGTCGCCGCTCCTGTTCCTCCTCGTTATGGACTTCACTATGCGACGGACGCTTGATAAAGGCGACCCTGGCATCCAATGGGGCAACACGAAGCTAGCGGATCTTGATTTTGCGGACGACATCGCACTACTCGCACCTACACAACGTGGCCTTGTAGAACTCACAACGACCTTGGAACATGAAGCCGGGAAAGCCGGGCTGAGGATCAGTGCTGCGAAGAGCAAAGTGATGCGAGTGGGCTATGCCGGTGCACACACAGTGGTTCAGATCAGCCACCAACAACGGCTTGAAGAGGTAAATGAATTCACCTACTTGGGAAGCATAGTCACATCAGATGGTGGCACGGACCGCGACGTCACATGTCGCATTGGAAAGGCAGCGGCAGTGTTCCGGCGGCTACAGCCAGTCTGGGCGTCTGGGTCCATCGGGCTACAAACAAAAATCCGCCTATTCAACACGATCGTCATTCCAACCGCCATATACGGGAGCGAGACATGGAGGTCGACAGCGGCCATCACACAGCGCCTCAATGCGTTCCAACAACGATGCCTCAGGCGCATCCTTCACATTTCCTACCTCGACCACATCACGAATGAAGCGATCCACCACCAAACGGGAACACGCCAACTCGCTGAGGTCGTTGCAGAGCGACGGTTTCGGTTTGGGGGCCATGTGCTACGAATGGCTCAAACACGCATACCAAAAGTGGCCATGCTGTGGACCCCAGGACGCGGAAAACGGAAACAAGGACGGCCAAAAATCACATGGCGCAGAACTTTTATCGAAGACCTACGTGCCGTGAACCTGTCATGGGATGAAGCCGAGGCCGTCGCGGCCGACAGAGCTCGCTGGCGATTACTTTGCGCCCAATGCGCCAGTAGGCACCGGAGGAACTAAGTCTAAGTCTAAGTCTTTTGTTTGTGTTGAGGTTCCACCCTCATGAGGAAATTACTGTGCAGTGATTTTCTCTAAAAGACTGCTAAATTGCTTTGAAAAGCATCTTTAAGCATCAGCGCCAAGAGACACTTCATTTCCCATGATGATTTGCACACGGAAGCAGTGTGATGACGTCACCAAAGCGGAGCCGAGAGAACGAGTTCTGCGCATGTGCGAGTTTTCCCGCCAGCCGGAAAAGCTATAAATTATAGCGAAGCGAAGTCGTTCTTTGTCTTTTGCCCAGAGTCGACTGGCTTGAAGAAGTTTTGCTGCGGCCGCTCCGATCAACACGAGCACGCGGGAGGTCTAAGTGCTGAAGTGGAGCGAGCACGGAACCGCTGAAAAGCCAAGCCACACAAGCCCATCAGGTCTGCTCTCCTGTTGCTGATCTCCAGCCAATGTGTGAGGAAACGTTCGCTGCTACGATCCAGTTTGTGTGAGGACAGAACCTGGCTGGAAAACAGCGGAGGACCATCAAACCGACGGAGAACGCCGATCAAATCAACGGAGAACCATCAGATCAAACAGTGGGGGACGCCTCGCTGTTCTGGTGATAAGAGTTATTCCTCTCCCTTCTCTCTCTCTCCTTCTCTCGTTCTTCTTATAGTTCAGAATAAGCAATAAAACCACGCTATTGCTTAAAAGTAGCTTCGTGTTTCTCTTTTTCGTACCAAAATACGTCATCGGGAGTATTCCAAGAGTACGCCATTTCATTGGTCATAGTTTAATATCTTAAAATGGTTTCTGCTGTGGCCAAGCTGTTTAACCTATCAGATATTAATTTATGATTAATCTTTGGTGAAGCTTCATGATCCTTTTGAAATGTTTTGAGTGATTTAAGGTTAAGTTACTCTGATTATAAGCGCTTCGGAAGTTAAAGTGCAAGTTGCCACCCACACTCAAACACACCTTCAGCCAGACAAAAGGGGTCAGACATCTTGTATTCAAGACTTCATTTGAACACACACACACACACACACACACACACACACACACACACACACACACACACACACACACACACACACACACACACACACACACCTTGAACACCATTTTGATTACCACACCCTCAATTATATCACATTATTATTATTATTCATTATTTCATTGTTTATTCATTTGATAAATAGGATAGTTAATAAATGTTGTAAAATTCAATCCAGTTTGTGTCAAGCGACTTTGTGTCGGCTGAAAATTTCTGCTCCTAAACGATTCCACGAACTTCAGACAGATTGATAAAGTTTTGGATTCATTTCCCTTTCTAATTAGAATGGGATGGTGCCCCGTAGATATCTTTGATATCCAAATTAATTAATAAATCGATAAATATTTCCATATTTACGAATTTATTGAAGAATCCAAAAAGTAAGTAAAAGCTTACTAATTATTCGTTCACCTAATAACACCCAACATTTGCATTATACATAAATTTAGAAATACTGTCGTCCACTAAGTCATAGAATTTTAATGGTTTTGTTTTTATGAATAACGGGTTAGATGGATCTCTGTAATTACTCCTCGTAATGATTCTTATTGCTTTTTTGCAATATATAGATAGAATTTGTATAAGTTTTATATGTTGTACTCCAAATTTCTATACAATAGTTCAAATATGGTGCAATAAGTGAATTATATAATAAATATAGGGAGTTATCATCCAGTGACCATTTTACTCTATGTAACAATGCAATTGTTTTAGCTATTTTAGTTTTCACATTGTTTATATGTGGCTTCCAAGATACATTTTCACCGATAATAACTCCCAAAAATTTTACTTATTTTACTCTTGTAATATTAATATCATCAATATTTAACAGACTTGTATCATTTGAGTTACTTTTACTAAATATCATGAAACATGACTTATCAGTGTTTAAAGGGACTTTACGGAGTTTTGAATTTTTATGCTCGTGATTGCCCCCTCAGGCCAAAAGCGTAACGGCAGCTTCAGTAGGAGGCTCGTGCACGAGGCGCGCATGCTGTACGTGCACACTCCTTAACGAAAATAACAGCTGAGACAGTCCCTTGTGTGTGTGTGTGTGGCCCGGAGGACAGAGGACAGGAGAACGTGTGGCTAATTAATTAAATAATGTGGTTCTGTTCCTTTCTCTTCAGCACAGCCGACAAAGGTTTATGATGGGTCAGTCCTCCTGCATGCTCAGATCATTCCCTTCCCTTGCTTGAAAAATTGTTCCAAAATGAAAGTTGAACCCACATCTTTTTATCTGTCAATTCAATGCCGTTCGGCGAGTCTCAAATAAAAATTTGGGCATCTTACTGTAAAAAAATGATCATTAATGTAAAAAATAAACTCTAAAACAACTATGTCACATCCAGAATCAAACCCAGGTCTTCTGCACGAAAGCACAAAGTCTTACTAGGCGAGCTAAAGCGCCAGTGGCGTCTTTCTGTATCTGTAACATTTATATCCTTAATGACAGCTGAAACAACGTTCAAAGAACGGTTCGGAGGGCTATGAACGCGCATGAAGCAGCCTGCTCGACCCGAGCAGCTCTCTTTTTCTGTGATTTTACAGAAAAACAGGCAATCACAGTAAAAATGCCAGGGCTCATTCTACAGGACCAGGGCATTGCAGGAGAATGTATGAAGAAATTTATTATTTCTATACATGTTTTGGCTGTCAAACTTCCATAATGCCCCTTTAATGAGAGTTTATATCCATCAAGCCATAATTTTATTTTTTTCATCTCAGTTTGTACTGTTTCTATCATCTGTTTGATATTATCTCCTGCATAATAAAAGGTAGTGTCATCTGCAAATAGAA